AGAATTGATCATGGCTCAGTGACATGTTTGAAAATATGTCTAAATCTACAAGGATCATGTTTAATTAGATTAAAGGTGAGAAGACCAAATTCTGGATGAAATTGATTTCATTGAATTATGATTTATAAATTAATTACTAACCATAAATTATCAGAAGCTTCTTTTTGAATAGCTTGTCGCTGAACTAATATTTTAACTCACAATAGATTTTAGCATTAACAGTAGTCTTTGAATCATGTTTGACTAGTATGCTGTTTCATATATGATGTTGACCTTGAGTCATACATTTTTGCCAGCTAGGATGATAATTGGAGATGAGTTGTAATGACAAAAGACAAAAATATAAATATAATAATTCACATGTCAGGGCCTAGGTCTTAAACGAATCAAAAGTTTAGGGACTAAGTTGCTTCAAGACATACATTGTTACATGAGTTATAATTTAAAGGATTAAAAGATTAATTTTTTTATTTTTTAACATCTAATTATAAAACATGATTTTTGTTAATCTACTGTTAAATTATAAATGTATGTGGTATAGTGCATATCAATTTGCGAGTTAAGATCGATTTATATATGTTTCTTTGGTTGCTTAGTGCTTATACCGAGGGAAAATCACATTGATGATAAGGATTTGATAATATGGTGGTTTAGTCTAAACAGCTTTTATTTTCACCTTTCTGTTTCACTTTTCACCTGTTTTTAGTTCTTTTGCTATGCCACATATTTTACTTTTAGGTCATGTATCGGTCTGTTGGTAGAAAAGAAAAAGTTGAGAAGAAGTTAGTTTATGTTTATTATAACTTGTATTTGTTATTGAATAATTTGTTATTTATTTTTTTTGGGTATTTTAAAAAATTATAAATTAAATGTTATTTTTATTTGGCAAAAGTACATTATTGGTCATCTAACTCCCATAAAGTTTTATTTTGGTTTCTTAATTTTATAAAATGACTTTCTAGTTTTAAAACTTTAACACCGTTGCCATGAATTTCATTGACAAAAGTTGTCAATATTGAAATTTTACATTTTGACAAAATATTTGCAAATGTTAATATATTGAATTTAATTTATTAAAATAATAATGATTGTCACACAAAAAAGTCGTCAATTGAAACTAATAATCTTTGTGTTGTAAAAAAAAAAAAGAATAAGGCTCGAAGACTGAAAAAATTCTTTATGGAATTACGGGATCAAATTAAAATTTTATATAAAGTTAGAGAATGTAATGTACTTTTTTTTTCCAGATTTTTTTTTATCTCACTTCATTTTCAATGCTGGCAAGTTTTAATTTTGTTTTGTAATTGAAAATTAATACCCAGCCACCTTTTTTTTTTTTTTTTAACCTTCATACCTAAACACGTTTCATTTCCACTTTCTTTGCTAAGTTTCCTTCTTTCTTTCTTTTTTAAAATGACGATAACAATGTTAGTTTCGCTCATTTTGTGTGTGATTTCATGGAAATAAAAAACATAATTTTTGAGGAATTTAAAAGAAAATACGGGAAACTATGAGGCAAGTTGCCTTCAAATATTTTTAGCTGTTTAATTGATGTCATTTTACGTTAATAGCTGGGACTTGTGACTTATAAGGTTTTTTTTTCTTTTAAATGAAATATTATGACGTTTGAAATATTTAAAACTCTGTTTGGTCCACAATACAAGACGTCCTAACTAATTTCTCATTAAAGGTATCAAGATAAAAAATGGTAGCTTACTCATTAAATTTGTCTAAAATTACTTTCTTTTCCAACTCTGCCAATATTAAATAAGTTTGTAAAAAACAAAAAAAAGAAGTTGCATTTAAACAATAATTATAAGGATAAAATTGATAAATAAGTATTAATTACTCTTCAAAGGATTTATATTTTGAATCAAATCATTCTTTTAATAAAAAATATAAAAAGTACATAAGTAATGTGAAATTATGGTACCTTATATCTTAAGAAGTATTTTAATTAACTTTTTAAAAATAATTTTATAAAATTTAAAAAACACCCTTTTATTTATATATTATGGTATATTATTGAAACATGATGTGACTTTACAGCAACCAAAGTGAAAGCCATATAGACCATAGAATTCGTTGAGTAAAGCAGTCAATCAAGCCACATAGAACGTAACGAAACGTGTTGAAAGGTCACATTTGACTACAAGTTGACGTTATTATCTATAAATACTATTTTTTTTAAAGTTTAAGTCATAATTATCTACTCCACTTATATTAAAAAAGTTGGTTAAAGTTAGTTTTTGTCATAAAATATGTTTTAAATTAGTCTTTCAAGTTTAATCCTGATAGTGAATATTTCTTTTTTATTTTTTAATATAATTGATAGTATCTTTGTATTATTTTGAGCTCGAGATTAATTTCAATCAGGTCGAAAGCGTTATGATTAAAGTCATTCGTACAAACATGCTTCTCGGAATTTAAACTTGTATTTTCCTCTATATGGAGCGAGAGTGTGAGACTGTTTACCATCTCAGGTTTTAACTTAAAAACAAAAACTTGCGGATAAAGTATTTATTAAAAACAATCATTTAATGATATAGAGATGGATATTTTGGATTCTAACATTTAGAAAAGACTTATATTTGAGTTAGGAGATAATAATGTTTTTTTTTAGTATGTTGTTCATTATTTTTTTTAATTACGATAAAAATTACGTGGATTGGTTTTTGATAACTCTTTAATGTTAGGACATACCTTATAATTGAATAAACGCTGCTTACAAAAATATTTACATACTATAAAGATATTTATAATTTATAGTAAGGTTCAAACTCAAGTCTTTATAATATTTATCGAAGTGTAAAGTAAAAGATTCTTGCATCGGCCTTAATTAAAGTTTAGTTATTTTTAATTTTTAGATTGTTGAGAATAATAAAAATTGATAACGTGTATAAAAATATTTCGTTATTAATTTATTTAATGTTTAATTGTATTACAAATGATAAATTTAGAAAAGAAAAAGTTCCTTTTTAAATGTAAAAAGGAAAAAGCTAGGAAAATGTCAACGAACTGAAATAATACTCCTCCGGTCCTTAATATAGGACCCAATTATTGAGTTGGTTTTGGTCCTAAATATAAGACCCATTTATCATATTTATCAATTTTCTCTAAATTTCCCCTATAGATACTCCCTCAACTATAATCAAGTAGAAGAGGGGATGGGGTATTAAGAAAGATGATTATGGTGTTTTAGGAAAAACGCATCACATTTCTCATAATTAACTAACTTACCTAACTTCCTAATCTAATCAAATTAGTTAAATGGGTCTTATATTAAGACCGGAGGAGTATATCTCAAGTATAACTCTATGAGACTCAAAAAAGTTAAAAATTGAAACAAAAATGTTATGAGACTAACGAATAATGGAAAAAAATTTTGGTTACAAAAAAATTTAGGTGAGTTAGATCTCAGAGGCTCACCAGAGTTAGATTATGTCTTCAGACTCAAAATACTTACAGAGATATTTACAGATCGCTCACTGATAAAATCCGCACATTATTCATATGTATCTTTTGATGAAGTAATAATTTGATAAAACTAAGATCGGAGATACGCCTATTATTCATATATTTTTTGATGAAGCCCAATCCAGCCCAAAACACAAATATACAAACTGAGTTTTTTGGTTAGACATGCAAACCTGAACCAGCTGGAGCAAGCTTATTGATGTCACAAAACATTGTGCCCAACTCATTCAGTGCAAAAGGCAGGCCCGTTATCCTTTTTGTTACAAGCCTGGCCCATTATCTTTTGCTTGCAGCCTTTTCCACACAAGGCCTATTCCAAAAAAAAAAAACACTGTCCAAGGCATGTATTTGATGTGACTCGAGTCAGATGTATTGTTTCTAACAAATTTAGGGGTATATTCATAGTGAAAACATTAACTAATCTGGATACTCTTTCTAAACTTATTTATAATAAATAAATCATTAAATCAGACAACTAAAAAATATAGTTAAAATCAATGAATATGTTTTTTTTTTTTTTTGCAGACTACCCATAATAATTGTTTCACAGGGTAATTGTGTATTAATTATGCTAACTTAATTAGGATAAAAAATTTAATTAATATAATGGACAGTAGTTAGTTTAGTTGTTTTCATTTATGTCTTATATGTTAAGTATATTAAAAAAATTAATTAAGTGAATTATTTGTAATAAATGTGTGTTAGACTTTCCTAAATTGCTATCTTTAATAATGTATATTAAAATTATTTTTTGATAAAGACTTCTTACCATTAATAAGATATGCTAAAGAAAAATTATAAATTTTAAAGTTAAAATAAATTAAAATTTTAATACTCCTCTTGTCCTTAATATAAGACCATTTAATTAATTTGATTAGATTAAGAAACTTAGATAAGTTAGTTAATTATAAGAAATGTGATAGGTTTTTTCTAAAATATCATAATCATCTTTCTTAATACCCCATCTTCCTCTTCTGCTTGATTATAGTTGAGGGAGTATTTAAAAGGATAATTTAGAGAATATTAATAAATACGAGAAATGATTTTTATATTTAAAACTAAAACCGATTTAATAAGGAAGTATTTAAAATCAAATTTAATCCAAGTACTTACTCACGTATAATTACTTGACGGCTTGACTGAACAAATTCAATTCAAGATTCAAAGTTCAAACATCGGTTGCTAATTTAACCGTCGGTTATGGTCAGAGAAGGCCAAATTTCAAGATTTCTTTTCCTTCCATCATCGTCGTTACTCGTCACCTTTTCCCTCTTTTCAATTTGCGTTCCCTCCTTTTTTTGTTTTTTCTTTTTAGGGTTTTAGTGTGAAGAAGGTAGGTCAACACTGCTCTCCTTCTTTACAAGTCTCTCTTGCTGCAAACTTGACATAACTCAATGCAATTTTGAAACTTTTCCAAATAATTCCATACCTCTCTTCACATAACCCCCCGCCATGACCAGATCCCAATTCCACCCGCCAGCGCCGCCGCTACGACTGTACCCGCCGTTGCAGCCCCGACAACAATGGCGCCAGCTCGTCCTTTGACGAGTCCACCGCCATTATCAAGACCTATATCTCAGCTTTCTCAACCTCCTCCCATACAACTCCATAACTCTCACCTTTACCCGTCTCAGCCCTTCTACGCGGCACAGTCGCTTCCCATCAGGGCACAAAACCTCATTCCAATTCTCAGTTGTCTAAAGCCCATGATTCTGTGCCTCAGGGTGTTCTTTACCCTGTTGCCTCGTCTGGCCGTGGATTCATTCCCAAAGGTGCTCGACCTTTATCCACTGATCAGATGGTCACCGTGGCGAACCCCGGTGTTTACCCACCGCCTCATTCTCTGGTGTTTCCCCCTGGTGTTCGGCCCATGGGTTCGCCTCATTTAGATTATCATTTGAGTTACCCCTTGCATTTGGCGAGGCCTCCCAATATGCAGTATGCTCATCCCGGTTTGGCTGGAGGGGCTGGCTCTGGCCCCTTTAAGGGTGTTCCGGTTTCTGCACACCCGAAGGTTTGATGATAATCCGGCTTTTAGTTTAATGGACTATAGTTTCTGTGGCTTCTTAATGCCTTAGGATTTTGAATTATGTTAACTGATTGCAAAGCATAGCTCACTTGAAGATGCTAAAAAAATATACTTTACTCTTGCAAATTGGCATGAGGTTGAGGGTGGCCACAGTCAAAATATTATGCTTTGAATGTATATCTTCTCTGAGCTTTTTAGCTTCTACACCAGACTCTTCAATGAAGCTGAGATTTTGCTTTGCTGTACCAAAAATTAGTGAATTTTAAAACCTTTCCTCTGTTTTGATTTAGGTTGCTCCTCGGTCTACCAATGGCTATAAGGATACCAGGTTATATGCAAGTGACGTTATGTGTACAGTTTCCTTCTGTCATCTTTTCTTCTTGTAATGCTGTAAAATTGATACTATTTTGCTGTGTTATTTAGGGAGAGAAGCAAGGAAGATGCCTTTATCCTTGTCAGAGATAGAAAAGTGAGAACTCATATTTTAGCATTTTATCTTAGAAGCTATATATTTTGTTTGGATTAGTTTTTTAAAAGTGATTTTATGGAGTCATGACAGATTAGAACAAGAATCCTAATGAGTTCATTTATATTTGATTTGTGATAATCGGAAGTTCTGTAATGAATCTCAATAGATTGCAACATATCTAAAATCTTGTCAAATTTCAACGGCATCTGCTCTCTCTATCTCTCTCTCTCTCTCTCTCAAATAAATACCATCTTCCATTGACCTCTTATCAGGTTTTCAGCTTGTTTTTCCATGTTTTGATTCTTGTCTTTATTAGATATATGTAGCTCACCTGGAGATGCTTCTTGCCCGTGTAGTGCGTCAGAATATAGGGATGATTGGCTATTCTTTTATACTTAATCATATTTCATTCATTTATTTGTCACAACTCATTATGTTAGTACAATAAAATAGGCTGTACTTGTGTAGACTTAATGTAGAGACAAACATGTAGAAAGGGAAAGTATGGCAAAGAAGGAATAGAGATCTTGATTACACGGACGTTTGGAAAAAACGAAGCATAGATTAAGAGCATGTTAGATCAAGACATCAATGATTTACTACTTTAGGGGAGATGGGAACTAGTATGCAAAACACAATTATAATGGGTCTTAAAATTCTGATGCTGAAGAAAAGTGATTTAAAAATCTTCAGGTCAAACAAAATTCTAACTGAATAATTATTATAGAACTGTAGTAATAGTTTGTTTTTATAACGTGATCAAGCAGAAAACCCTGATATTTCCTTATACATTCTGTTATGAAAGTGGCGGGTGCAAAAGTAATTACATAATGATTTATGGGGAACTGAATGATACAAGACACAAGATGAAGGGGGAGGAGGAAGAGACAGGAAAGAAATCTGAGGGAGGGGAAGGAGGGGCAAGAAACTGAGAGAACATGAGGGAGAGGCTTTTATAGAACGCCATGAATCGTTATTAAAAAGTTGCTTCCAGTTCTAATTAAAGAGAGCATAATTCAAATAAAACACAGTGATTTAGAAAATGTTATTTTCTGTACCTAAAATTTATAATTTGCCTCATTCACCTGTACTTGCATGGAGATTAACATTTATTTAAAAAAAATAACACAAAGTTGAAAAAGCAAATCGATTGGTGAAAACAATGAGTCGCATCAATAATAGTAGAGTAATAATGTGACTTATTCTACTTTTATATGATGCATTGATGATCTACAATTTACATATGCTAATCATTAATGTATTTCCAAATCCTGATCTCATTCTCCAACCGGAATATTGGAATATTTTCTGGTTTAGTTTTGAACACCTTAATTGATAGCATGTGATAATATTTTGGCTTTCTGTCATAGTGTTTTTCGACATCGTGCTAATTGAATGATGTTTCACTGCTTTAGGTGAGAATTACAGAGGATCCATCTCTCTATGCGCTTTGTAGATCATGGTTGAAGAATGGTGTAAATGAAGAAACCCAGGTTTGGTTTATGCCTTTTTTTTTTTTTTTAATTTTCCTCCAATAATGATTCGGCATCTGCTTGAGAGCTCAGCCATGTGATATTGACTAAATGGATATGCCGTTACTAGATTTCTCAGGTTTTATTGTCAAAACAAGTTAGAGGATTGGTGGTTCTCCTTTGACACATTATCTATTCTTTGACAGTATACAAAAATGGAATGAACTAGTGCCAATTTACGTCATTGAATTCGTGTACAATCAAAGTTATAAATGCTATACAAGACTCTATCATTAATCTCATTAAGTCTGCGCTGGGGAGACTTCTATTTAAAAAAAAAAAAATTGATGCCTCAACGAGCTTATCTTCAGAGAAAGCTGTTTTTAAGTATTTAACCAAACGCTGCTTATCACAAGTAAAAAGTTTTTCTGCATATGGTCCTTGTGAGTGGTTTCCTGACTCAACTTAGATGTGGCAAATATGCTTTTCTTCTCTGTGATTTTGTCATTGTTCTGTTAGGGGTGTTATGGCCAATGGCTTATGGTCATGGTGATTAATTGTTTACTTTCATGCCCCGCTTGGTAGCAGGACATTGGAGGGGAAAAAGTGGAAGTAGAAGTGGAACCCATAATTGTGTTTGGTTTGCGCGAAGAGGGTTCCTTAACAAAGTGAGTTCCATCAAATCTGATGGAATAGGGTTCCTTGATTCCTGGTCTTTGATTTTGTTTTTACTTGATTTCTGGATGACCACCAGCCACTGGTGGTGGCATGAAGGTGGTGATGGACGGTCAATTTTGAGATCTGGTGAAGGCTAGGGTTTTGTTTGGGACAAGGTCATATTGGTCTTCTCATATTATAAATAATATTAAAGATAGTATATTAGTTCCATAGGCATGCCAAACACATTTTTAAACCCACTTCCATTTCCCTCTTCCTTTTTTACTCCCATTTCTACTTCCACTTCCCTCAAAAACACTTCCCTATACCAAATGGGGCATTATGCTTCATATGATGTCAATATGTTTTGACGTTATATTTACCTATGCTGGGCAGTTACAACAAGAGGATGTCATGAAGGTACTTCCCAAACCATTGTCTGCATCGGTGGTGGCTGGTTATATGGAAAACAACAAAGAAGATGAAGACGGAGATAAGCAGGAAGAGGTTGGTTTATGTGGTTAACTTCGTATGATCAATAGTTCAAATTTTGTTAAAGGGAAAGTTTTTACACGGAAAATTACTGTCTCTTCAGTAGTGTATTGCAGGATACTGCTGTTCTTGTGAAGATTTTGTTTATGCTTGTGTCAGAAATAAAACTTCTACGTACATTTTATGCGGAAATTTATCTTACTATTCTGAACATCTGAGTTGTACCTACTCATTTCTATTTTCAGGAGAAGATTAATGAACAGTTATCTTCACAAGATCTATTGAAGGGGCATATCCAACGTGCTAAAAAGGTTCGAGCACGGTAAGCTTTTTCCTTTTCAACTTCTAGTTTATTGATCAACAAGTTATGTCTTATGTTTGGCTCATTACATGGTAGAGTTAGCGTGCACGCTCACACACGCATATGAAGATGCCTTTGCCCATCTAATTTCACTAATTATCAATCACCAAATTCTTATGTTTAGCAATGATTTTGTGATCCTGGTGGATGATAAGTGGTTCTATAATACATGCCATTGAGTTTCTTCTGCAACATTTCCCACTGATGGTATATATAAGGAGAACAAAAAAGGGCTTATTAAAGCAGTGTTATAAAATACCACGCTATTAATGCAGCATTTCGGTGTTTCGCTTCGTACATTGTAAATCAATCGTCCAGCATCATTCTATTAAGGATTTCGTGTGCTTTTACATATTTACCAATATATAAACATGTTTTTTATATTTATGTAAATATTTGTGAATTTTTACTTGTCTGGATTTATGGACATAATGACTGTTCAACTTCTATGCTGATATCAGTTGCATATGGACTGTTGCCCTTTAGACCCGTTGGACTGAAAAAAAATCATTCTTTTACCCTTAGTGCTCCCCTTTAAGCTAGTTGCAAATGGAAAGTCGAGTCTCAACAAAAAATCTTTTAATTAGATGCATTACTAACCCATCAACTTTGTGAGTTATAGTTGGGAGAATTGTTGTAAAGTCACAAAGAAGAAATACACTTGCTAAAAAAGTTCCATTGACAACCGAATAACAGGCAATGACAACTTCTAATACAGAAAATGACAACATACTAATGTTTCTCACTTGTCATTGAAACTTTTTGATAATTATTTTTTTTCCTTGGGACTTCATAGTAATTCTTCTCCCTTTATAGTTCCCTAGTTATATTTTAGATTTCATATGCATGTTCCCACCCTTCCCTTTCTTTTAGACCATTTTTTTAAATATTTAGTCTCTGGCAATTTAATTTCCTTTTGAGTAACTTAAGGCTGTTAATGCTTTTACAAACTCCAGGGTGTAAGTGTTCTGCTGCTAATGCATGCAGACTTTAAAGAGATGAAAATTTTGGTTGCTAATGTTAGGTCCATCTGAAAAGGCTTGCCTTTAAATAGGTGCAACGGCTGCTATTTCTATGTTTGAATTAAAAATGGACACTTCTCATATATTGCGTGGGGCATAAAAAGGGGAGAATTTCACTTAATTCCCACAATGTGGACTTAATTTATAAAAAATGAGTGATATTGTTCCCGGTTTGTAAATATCGCATCCATACATTGTATATATTGATAATTAGATTTTCCTATTGGTAAACTGGAGATCCCAATTCCAAGGGGATTCTGCTAGAAGGACGTTTTTCCCTAGCAGGTATCTAGTTCTCATCGTTTACCAGAAGGAAGATGATATCATGTGTGAGTTGTCTCTCACTATATTGTCCTGATTGTAGATTAAGGGAAGAACGGTTACAAAGAATCACAAGGTACAGAAGTAGGCTGAGGCTTTTGCTTCCTCCATCTGTTGATCAGCTCAGAAATGATGCGGCTGCCGGGAACTAACTTTACTAACTTTGCTTGTGGCATCTGAACTGGCATTTGGCAAATCACAGCTGGTACATTGTTGATTTTTGTCCCTTAATATCTGTTACCCAACTGTAAATCGAACATCTTAGAATCTCCTCTACTTCAGCTCCCTTGCAAAAACCAGATTTCTTGATTTGGTAATCACATGGTCCGATGTAAATTTGTATAGTTAGTTACTTGGCATAAAGTAAGTGACTTCTGGTGATTGTTCAAATGAAGTTATGACCTTTGGCCTTTGACCTACCAAATCAAAAAACTTGGATTGGTACGGGAGCTCAAGAGAAGTTTAGAGGTGTACATTTTACCTAGTCAGGCATTCACAGATGCCAATAGATAAAAATATGAGAGCAAATTTGTAATCTTTTTAGGATCTTCCACCCCCACCCCCCAACTCAAAGTTGGTAAAAAGGAAATGGACTCAGTGTAGATTGTTCCAACACTCAAACCCCAATGATGCATTGGTCAATCAATTCCCTCTTGGTGACTTGAAAAGAAAATATGCAAATTGAATTGGGAGCCATTTTCTTTTCCCCCACCCACAGCCAACAATCTCCTTTGACTGCGCAGACTCTCCAATCTCTTTGTTTTGTGCAAGTATTAAACTTTTAGGGCTGGTTTGGTATGAGGGAAAATGAGAAAAGGGGAGGGGAGGGAAAATTTTAATAAGCTCAGTTTAAAAAAATTGAAAAAGTGAGGTTAAAAGCTTTTAATTAAATTATATTACTTTTACATTGCTTCTTTTCTTTATTAAAATTTCAAAACCCTACTTTTCCAATTTTTTAAGTAGAGCTTATTAAAATTTTCTTTCCCCTCCGCTCCCATCCATTTCCCTCATACCAAACAGTACATTAATGACACCATTAAAGATTTAAATCAGGTTTTTATTATTAAAATTAGCTCCTAGTTCTGTTTAAATAAATATATTATTTGCAGTTATCTTTATAATTACAAAAGATTGATGTTATCAAACCTGGGATTACTTGTATTACAACTTGTAGTTGTTAAATTCTAATGGACATTTGCTGTGAAATGATTTGTTGTAATTTTGTAAGTAATCTTGGATTAAGTTTGAATATGTTAAGGACATTTTCACCTCTTTCCCTTTCTGCCGGCAGAACTTGCTGGGGTATTTGGTGAGTTTGTCAACAAACCAAAAACGTGCAGGACCAATTCTTATTGCTGGTTTCACACCAGGAGCCCTGGAATGCCTGCCATTGAAAGGTTCCAGGAAAGTAGAAAAGGAGCTTCTCAAAGGAAAAAGACAAAATAAAATCCAAAAAGACAGACATCAAAATATTTTTGAGATAGCCACCAAATTTTTTAAAATCATTAGGTTTTTTTTTTTTTAAAAGTGAAATATCACTATAGCGTCGAACATTAATTTGTTCCCACACAAACCTGAACTTTTTGCGTACGTTCAAAATTACTAAAGCTATGCTTTAAATAAAAGCAAGTTGTTAATAGTTTTTTATTAAAAATAGTGAATTTAGTAGTCAATGAAGGTTTGTCTACTTGGTAATAATTGAATTGATATTCCATGAAAACGCGGATCAAATCTTGTGGATGTGACGATCTTTGTAGGTAAACAATTTGTAAGTATATCTCTAAAAGTGTTTTTTGAGTTTTAAGGTCGGGATTAGCCTTGGTGCGTTCACATAATTTTTTAAAATAATGAATTCAGTGATTTTCTAACATAAAACTGAACATGCATTAGAAGACCATGTTGACCTCCAAACTAATTTTAGGTTTCAAAATGCTGAACTATATTTTCAAGTTTTGGTTATTGCAAATAACATACATTGCACATATGAAACTGCTACATTTTGAAAAATTAAGTAGAGACTTCTAATAAAATCAAAATTGTTTTTGAAGACATAAAATATTTATGAACTAGTGTTAGGAAAAAAACTGGTATTTATTCATGAATCTTCAATCCAACGTTCTTGTTCGGTGATTCTAGGAATATCTTCCATAGTTACCATATTTTTTATGCCACAAAATAAAAAATGAATTGTGAAAGAAGTTTCCTGAAGTGTATGTGATTAAGAGACCACATAGATGACCTAATAACTTAGGTTCCAAAATATATTAAACAACGTTTTCAAGTTATGGTCATCAGATAGATTATATATTATTTGTGCTAATCATGAACATAATGACACCGTCACCATCCAACCACTACAATTTGAAATCTTAATTAATTATAATATTTTTTTTTTGGGGATATCTGATGCAATATCCTAAATTCCACTCCGAATCATTGTCTTTTTCTTTTTAATTTGCTGTTGTTTGGGATTAAAGGGATAAGATTGAGATTTTAAGTCAAAAAGGGTTTATCAATTTTAATTTCCATATCTCAACGCTTGGCTGTTTGCTTATTATTTTGCATTACCTTTCAAATTCATTATCATTGCTAATTGCGTGTTCAATATCGCTACCTCACCCTTCAATCCTTCCATCACGTCATTTCTTTGTTTCTATTCTCATGTTCTTATTTTTTTTAAATTATTATGTATTTTGCATATAATTATATGGTATTCAGTATATTGGAGTATTGTCAAGTCTGGCTGGTACATTAAAATTGAACTTATGTATTGACCATTATATGATTTTCAAGCTTAATTATTTTTATAAAAATTATGTTTTTATAGAATTAAGCGATATTTGGTATTATAATCAAGTCATATTTTAGTACATGGTACATTTAATAATATTTTTCCTCCTTTTTGGTATGGCAAAATAGTATCTCTATCAATATGAGCATTGTTGTTAAACTCTTAAGTTGGTTCACTAAGTTTATTGTTTTTGTGTTTTGAGCTTGCAAAATTGTTTTAACTCATTTTTAAACTCATACTAATTATAAGCTCAGTTAAACCTATAAGCTGACTTATTGAGTTTATTATTTTTATGTTTTTAACTTACAAAATCGTATCAAGTCATTATTAAACTTATACTACATGCAAACTTAGTTGAACTCACAAGTAATTTGATAAATGGTTCAATTTTTATGGAGTTGAGTGAGTTAAACATGTATCAGTTATAACTTCGTTTACAAACTCTGTAGGAGGACGCAGTCCAAAGTATTAAGGGTAAACGGTAGACTCTTTTCAATTTAATTTCATCTACAAGAATTGATAATCAAATCTTAAATCACTTGCTCAATCTATTAATCAAATGCACTTAATTCTACGTTCTTGGATAATTTTTTATCATAAATCCCACTAGCAATATCCACAGAGATATGTATATAGACATGGATATGGCAACAATTCAATGTTCTATTCAAAGCAATCAAAATTCAAAATCTGATTGAACATAATGACAAGGTACAAGTTGGGTGGCTATATATACTTTAAGTGTTTTTTTAATTCAAATGAATTGATTAGAATCCATAATCAATATTAATATAATTGAGCACAATCCTAATAGCTATGTTTCAATATGCATTCATTTGTTCTTTAGTTCTATACCTTCACACTCTTGACGATCCATATCTCATGTGAGAATATTCAAAACCTAATCAAGTTGGTGGATTTGCGTATATCTGATCTCTAATATTTAGTTAATTACAATATCTACTAGATAAAGTGAGTTTAATTTATTTAATTGTTACTCCTATAGGATTTCATGGCTTCATGCAACGATCGAGAGTTAAAATATTTTATACAAACAGAGACATTGATTCTGACTTTGGCACTTACAGAAGAGAACTATTGGTTAATTGGGTAAGTAGTAGGTAAAAACAGTGTAATAAGAAAAATAATTAACTTTGTGAACTAGCAATGTTAATTTATTGGGATATTAAATAAAAAATAACTTTGTTAAGTTCACACAAGTTGATCTTATTTGTCCTATCCCATTCACTTTTACATTTGTTATAGAAAATTTGCTCTCAAGACAAACATTACTGTTATAATTATAATATGAATTTTGATTGTCATTTTAATTGGAGTTCAATTCTGAACAAACTACCACTAAGTCAAGAAGGCTATTATCACGTATTACTATACATGTGTGTGTACATATTATTTATTATAATTAAATGAAATTTAGGCACAAAGCAGAAAGTTATTCTAGCTTAAAGTTGTTATTAACTAGTACCTCCATATCTTACCATGTGAAGAAATATCGATGATACAATTAATACGAATTTTTTAATAAAGATTATTTGATTTAAAAATTAAGCAAGATAGAAATGATCAAATACACTTTTCTGGATCTTTTTGTAATTATTCACCAAATAAAGTAAATAAAAGGAGACTACTTACACACACACACACACACACACACATATTATATGAAAACCATGTTGTGAAAGCTTTATTCCTTATTTGAAATTCAAACCAGCTGTTTTGATCCGAATTGATTGATAATTTATTTTTCATAAGCATTAGCTGATAATACTAGATCTTAATTAAATCTTCCAGAAAGATAAAATTTTATAATCAGCATAATTGACAGGTGGCAACTTTAATTTTGATGATCCAATTTTTTGGACTGTTCCGATGATGTAAACTAAATCTGTTATTTTCGTACACAATAACTGTAAATTAATTAAAACTTTATCAACTTGTCAGACTTCTACTCCTCCAATCTTTAATATAAGACCTATTTAACTAATTTGATTAGATTAAGGAAGTTAGGTAAGTTAGTTAATTATAAGAAACGTGACATGTTTTTCTTAAAATACTATAATCATCTTTCTTAATACTCCCTCTTCCTCTTCTACTTGATTATGTTTGAGGGAGTATCCATAGGAATAATTTAGAGAAAATTGATAAATATAAGAAATGAGTCTTATATTTAGGATCAAAACTCAATAATCAATATTAAGGATTGGAGGAGTATTAATTTATGCAAGATTTGATGTTTTAAATACAAAACAAGTTTATATGTAAAAGGTCAACATTGATTTATTACTAACTCATTGCCTCATGATTGGTGTTATAATTGTTCTGATATATACATCTGGTGAAGAACGCTAGATTATGTATATAATTTTGTCTAGATATTCTTTTGTAATCCTATCGTATTCTTAAAGGAAGATAATATAATAAATAATTACATGGAAACACTGACACATAAAGTGAAAAATAATGAAGAAAATAGAACTATAAATTATTTGTGGTTTTGCTCAAGAAATATTTTCTTGGGGCTGAGCAAGAACAATAAAATAATTAAAAAAATGCTAAGTTTGCGTGTGCATGAGTTTGATTGT